TTTGCTGCTACATTGGTTAATATACAACCCCCCACTTTTCTAAGAGCTAAGTTTTCTTTCAAAATTGTGATCCTTCCCCTCTACACAGCCTTAGTGAGGACACATCTGGAGTGCTGTGTCCAGTTCGGGGCTCCTCAGTACAAGAAAGAGCAAGGAGCTGCTGGAGAGGGTCCAGCAGAGCGTCACGAAGATGATGAGGGGTCTGGAGCATCTCTCTTATGCGTAGAGACCGCAGGAACTGGGCCTGTTCAGTGTGGAGAAGACTGAGAGGGGATCTCATCAACACGTACAAATATCTCAAAGGCAGGTGCCAAGAAGATGGTGCCAGGCTCTTTTTGGTGGTGCCCACCGACAGGACGAGGAGCAATGGCCATAAACTAAACCGCAAGAAGTTTCACCTCAACATGTGCGAGTCCTTCTTTACACCGAGGGTGGCGGAGCACTGGAACAGGCTGCCAAGGGAGGTCGTGGAGTCTCCCTCTCTGGAGACATTCCAAACGGACCTGGACGCGTTCCCGTGTCACCCGCTCCAGGTGACTCTGCCTCGTCAGGGGGGTTGGAATGGGTGATCTCCAGAGGTCCCTTCCAACCCTACCGGCTCCGTGACTCCGTGACCCCCTCCCGGCACCCTCAGGCCCTGGATGTTCCCGGGGCTGCCCACGACCGCCCCCCGCTCCCTCCCGGCTCCCCGGGGCGGTGTCACGTGTCCCGGCCCGCCGCGCTCCTTCCGGCGCCATTTTAGGTTGGGGTCGGTGGCGCGCCATTAAAAACAGGGAGCAGGAGGAGAGGAGGATCGGGCAGATCGGGGCGCGCTCGGCCGGGGCCGCCAGCGCGCCGGGGCCTCGGCGGAGGAGGCGGCGACCGCGTTCGTGTCCGGTCCGGTCCGCTTGCGGGGCGCGGCGCCCATGTCGGACCAGCAGTTCGCCTCTGGACTTCGCGGCGGTGGCGGCGGGCGCCGGGACACGCGGCAGAGCGGCGGAGCAGCCTGAGGGGCGGCGCGGGGGCGGGAGCAGCGATGGGGGAGGCGGCGGGCGGCGGATCGAGGCGAGGGGAAGCCAAGATCGACGCCAGCGAATGACTAGGAGGACGAGGGTGTGAGCTGAGGGGCGCGTTTTATGCCCGGCGGGGGCCCGGCGCCCCCGGCCCGGCCTGGCTGCCTGGCCCGGCCGGCCCGCCCGCTCGCCGCCCGTTTGTGTTTTTACTTGCGCCTCGGCGACGTCACGGGCCGGGCCAGGCGGGGGCGGTGTCTGGACCCGCGGTGTACAAATGGTGTGATGTGTACCGAACTACAAATCCCTTTTATTTTTTTTAGGATGTTCTTTATATAAGTTAGTGTGCGGTGCGCGCGACAAGGCCGTAACTCGGCGTAGCCGAATGCTGGAGTTGCAGTCGCAGCACTGCCCTGTGCTGCAAGCACAGACGGTGTGTCAGTGAGAGGCATGAGGGATCTGGGCTTCTTCCCAGCCTAAACCATCCCTCTGCTCCTCGCGGAACTTGCTGTGAGGAAGATTGCATTAGGTGATGTCTGAGCTCGAGGAAACGATATGAAGCTGTGTCAGGGGAGGTTCAGGCTGGATATCAGGAAAAGGTTCTTCACCCAGAGGGTGGTTGGGCACTGGAACAGGCTCCCCAGGGAAACGGTCACAGCACCAAGCCTGGCAGAGTTCAAGAATTGTTTGGACAATACTCTTGGGCACATGACGTGATTCTTGGGGTGTCCTGCACAGGGCTAGGGGTTAGACTCTATAATCCTGATGAGTCCCTTCCAACTCAACGTATTCTATGATTTTAGGAAAAATAAAGGCAGCTTTTAATCTTCCGAGGGTCTCTGCCTGATGCTTGGTATGGGTCAGTGTCACTTTAGTATTGCTGATGAAATTCACTTGTAAAAAACCAAGTGACATGACAGGCTGATGCTCTGTGCTGTCTCCTGTCAGACCCATAAGAACTCGGGCTGCAGGTCTGGTTTTGGTCAAGGCAGAAAATAAACTGGATAAAGGAGCACTGGCTATGTTGTCCTGTAGATACCTGCTGCGAAACCTTTCTGAGCATCTTGCTCTTGTAATAACCTGGGATGTTGCAGAGAACGATGTTAATAATCTGGGATGTTGCAGGGAGAGAGAAGAGGAACCTTTTTTTGAGTGTTTTGGTAGGATTAGCAGAAGCTTAGAATGTTTTTGTTACTTCTCACCTGCTCTTAGTGGCTTTAAATACCCTTGCAGTTTGCGTATTTGTTTTACTTTTTGCCCTTGAATACATACCTCTTAAAGGGTTTTCAGAAGGAAGCTGATCTTGTTTGGAGGCAGTACAGCTTAAAAAAAGTTGTTACTGAGGGGTGCAGTGACACTGAGCAGTGATTACATATATTATATGTTGGCTTGTAGTTTAGTTCAGTCTTCTTATTTGAACTGTCAATTTTTATGGGTCATGCTGTACAGGAAACAAAGTGTTTGGGCAGCTTTCTTGGTAGTAGAGGGAAAACAGCAGATCTGTGATATCTTTGCTCTGTTTAGCTGAGTATGAAATTTGAAAGCATATTTTGGAAAACTGTGTGCTGATGTGACTTGCATACATTTCCTAACCCACAGATTGGCTGGTGTATTTTACAAGCTTTTGACACCGCTGTGGCATTGCTCCTGGATTGCTTTTTGTGCTCGTGGTTGTGTTGTAGCCTTGACCTGACCTCAAGTTTTGCAGTGAAGCAGTGGTTTGTCAGCTCACTGTAGTGGCAGGATGGAGCAGCAGTGGTTTGCTGCTGCGTGAGTGGACTCCCAAGTTGCAGTTGCTGCGTGGAGGTCCTTCAGAGGGCTGTTGTAAACTCATGTTCTTGCTCTGTCTGTACTTAGTGGTATAAAGCAGGCTTTGTATGTTAATATTGATGACAACTACAAAGCAGGTTTTGTGTGTTTAGTGGTTTGTTGGTAGCTGTGAAACAGGTGGCTTGTGCCTAGCAAGTGTAAGTTCAGTAGTAACTGCTAGAGTATCCTCCATGTGTCAGAAAAACGCTGCATCCTCTCTGTGTTCTGTTTGGCTGCTTAAAAAGCTGCACAAAACAGCAAACAAACTAAGAACCTTAATGATGGATGAACGCAAGAACAGAAAACATCCTTTGATTTACTGCCTGTGCTGGTACTACGAAGCTGCTGGTTTACCAGTGTGGACCATTTTATCAATATTCACAGAACCACAGAACGTTAAGAAGTTGGAATGGGCCTTAAACCCTCCCAACCAGTCCCAACATCCCCTGCTGTGGGCAGGGACACCTCCCACTAGATGAGGTTGCTCAAGGCTTTATCCACCCTGGCCTTGTACACTGCCACAGTTGAGGCATCCACAGCCTCCCTGGGCAACCTGTGTCTCACCACCCTCGTAGCAAAGAATTCCTTCCTAATATCTAATCTAAATTTCCTCTCTTTCAGTTCTACCCATTACTCCTTGTTCTATCACCACAGTTCTGATGAAGAGTCCCTCTCTGCCTTCCCTGTAGACCCCTTCAGATACTTCGAAGGTTGCTGTGAGGTCTTCATGCAAACTTCTCCAGGCTGAACAGTCCCAGCTTTCTCAGCCTGTTTTCAGAGGGGAGGTGCCCCAGTCCTCTTATCAAGTTTATGGCCTCCTCTGGACTTGCTCCAACAGTTCCATGTCCTTCTTATGCTGGGGGAACCAGAAGGAGATGAATATAGATTAGTCCTGAAGACAACAAGTAGTCACACTAGATAGAAAGGGATTTTGGTGCTTTGTAGAAGAGACATCTGGAACTAGTGGTAAAAGTGGATAAAGGGAATGGGGAATTGGTGCTCCTGCTTAAAGATTTCAAGACCTTTTATAGAAACATCTGAAGCTCCTGAACCCCCTCATTTCTATGGAGGTTGGATATGTTTGTCAGAAAGTGAATGCTCTTGTTAATTCTGTCATGACAGCAGAGCTAATTCAACAGTTAGTTCAGAGGAGCAGCTTTTGATTTGAGAGAATTTGACTTGTGGAGGTACATGCAATTTACATGATTGGCAGGAATATTTGTATGGGTGTGGAAAGTGGAGGAGTTGAAGACATGATACAGTGTTTTTTCAGGTTTTCTGATAAGTGTGCGTTGAATTGTGGGATAAGTTGATACAGTGAAAATGGACAAAGCTTTGTAGGAAACATTCATAGATCATAATGGATCATACTTTTTTGTTTAGAGCCTGCTGTAAAATCTTCTTTATCAGTATTAGAGGAGATCATCTCAAATCCTCTCTTGAATGGCTGCCTAAGCCCTATGCCTAATGACTATGACTATGAATGATTCATTTGTGTGCATACTGGCTTGGTTTTTTTTGTCTTTCCTTTTGTTTCGTGTCTTACTAATGTGGTGGGACAGTCATGAATTGATTCTAAGCTTCCAGTGTGCTTTTGAAAATACAGGTCGTGATCAGAATTATGTGCTGCACACATTTGCCCAGCAGCACTCGTCCCTTAGCAATATTGGGAAGACATTGGTTTGATTGTATTGGATTATGCCTATTGTTTATATCATGTTTTTGTGAGGAAAGATAAGCTTTGATCATCCAATAGTTTTACTTTTTTTACTGCTTTCTGGGGAAGGCAACTTAACTAAACTTTATTTTAGTTTACTAATATGGGCTTATGTCCAGTCCAGCCTAGTACATAAATGCCTCTAAGTGCACTGCTGTATAAACCTAATCTGCCCATGTGGGTTTCTTGAGCAGTTAACTAAATGGAATTTGACCTGTGGTGGGGGTGCAAGGAAGTAGTAAAATACCTTTTTGTCACTACTGGTAGTTTCCTGGGGTAGCAGAGTAAGCAACTGCAGCAGAAGATGGTGCAAAACTTTTGTTTACATGTAAGTCTTTATCTAACCTGGCCAGAATCATTAAAGCAAGTTGTCAAAAAGTGCAGGCCTGCGTGTGCGGTGTCGTCACTGATAAAATGCTGCCAGTTCCATGCATTAGGTAACTGAGCTCATGCAGCTTGACAGTACAGGATTTTGGGTATCACACATTAACAGATTAAACCATCTTGTCTTAACAGGAAAATGTTCATCGGAGGCCTCAGCTGGGACACCACCAAGAAAGATCTGAAGGACTATTTCTCCAAATTTGGTGAAGTTGTAGACTGTACTCTGAAGTTAGATCCCATCACTGGGCGATCAAGAGGCTTCGGCTTTGTGCTCTTCAAAGAATCAGAGAGCGTAGATAAGGTAGTATTGATGTAATGAAACATGTTCAGATTTGGGTATTGGAGATGAAGCACTCACACGGTTGTCCGCATAGTTGTTTGTACATGTTCTGCTAAAGATGATTCAGGGACACAACATGTTTAAGATACTTGTTAAAATGTTTATTTTCCTGAACCATCTTACTCATGATGCAGTGTTCAGGACCAGCAGTGATTGCTAAGGTGTGGATTTGAGCACTTACATGGGAGTATGCTGCAAGCCACTGGACTTGAGCACTTGAAAAACACTGTATATAAATGCCTGCTGTCTACTGAAAGCAGTAATTTGCAAAGAACTTCAAGCCTTTGCATTCCAGAGGTGCAACGTGGACCCCTAGAGTAGAGCCAATAGCTTTGATACATTTGGACTCTATCCAAGCAAAAGTTAGCTGTTAACTTTTCTAAAGTGCTGTGGATACAGCACACGGAAAAGTTTTCACCTTCGTTGACCTTTGGTGATATCTAAAGTGCAGATTCTTTACTTCTTAAAGTTTGAGGATGAGATTGTAGGGTACTTTCTGAGAAATGTTATGCTCTTGCTTCCCTTGGATAATACATGACCCCAGGTGGCTCTGGAAAAACTTTGTCAGAACTGTGTCAGTGGATAGTGATCAAAATCACAGAATTCTTTGGGTTTGTGCAGCAAATTATTGCTGTAATCAAAGTATCGAAATTGAAGCAAATTTGACCTTGCTCAGAACATAAGTGAAACATTTAGTTTGAACTGCTTAAGATTATGTTTTAATTTTTCTCAGGTCATGGACCAGAAAGAACACAAGCTGAATGGAAAGGTCATTGATCCAAAAAGAGCTAAAGCCATGAAAACAAAAGAACCTGTTAAGAAGATTTTTGTTGGGGGCTTATCTCCAGACACACCTGAGGAGAAAATACGGGAATATTTTGGAGGTTTTGGTGAGGTATGTGGTGAAACAAACTGCTTATGCTTGTGGAACTTGTTCTGTCTTCACAAATTTAGTAATAAAAAGCATCCCCCAAATGCAACCTGCATGGATGCTACTGTAAGCTTAGTGGCCATTATAGCTCCATCTGTCTTAGTAGTCAGAATTTTAATGACAATAGTATTAATTACAGGTTTTGAGTTGCACAGACTGGGTAATGGAAGGAGGAGCTGGGATAAGTCAGAAAGGGAGGCAACACTTTTGAGATGGTGTTTTGGTCAGTTGGATGAGATGATCTTAAGTCACCTCAGCTCATCTTCTGTGGCACAGATTGAAGCAGTTTGCCTAAATTCTGTGCAACTATGTAGTCTCTTGTCTCTCTCTGTCCCCAGTTTTTGGTGGCGCAGATGAACAGAACTGTGCACTTGCACAAAGCTACATCTTTTTCATATAAAACTTCAAGGTTTAGGTCTCCTTGGAGTTCGGAATATTTAGTTGCTTCAGTCTTAACTGAGTTAAAACTGAAAGTCAAACTGAGACTATTTATCCAGCATAACTAAAATATTCTTTGTGCACCATATTTTGTCTGAGTACGAATGGACAAATGGTACTAGAAGTTAGAGGGAAAAATTTTTTCACACTTATTAACACTGTTGTTAGTGAGGGTGATGCTTTAGATGGTTTTGAGTGATATAAAGCCCTATGAAGGAGACACATTGTCATATTCAAGGCTAAATAATTTCAGTTAACAAATATGACCTCTTACAAGGATTTTGAAGTGACATGCATGGCAGGATAAAAGATAAAATCACTGTCTTCTTCACCAGGTGGAATCGATAGAGCTCCCCATGGACAACAAAACTAACAAGAGGCGTGGATTTTGCTTCATTACTTTCAAGGAGGAGGAACCAGTGAAGAAAATAATGGAAAAGAAATACCACAATGTTGGGCTTAGTAAAGTAGGTGAAGTTTTTCTTAGAGAAACTGAACATTGACAATAGAGAGAATTACATTATCAGTTGCATCTGTTTGGGGACAAGCATTATTTCTCACATGTAGCATTAGACTTTTGAAGTATTTATGTAGGTGCTAGGAATAGGTGACTGTAACCTTAAGTTCTGAGCTGAGGGGATTTCAGGTGGGGTTTTGTAGAGCACATTTGTTCACTGTGCAGCTCCCACGTGCTCCAGCTGTGTGGGCAGAGTGCTGTGTCACAGATCTGCTGTATCAGGTGGCACCATGTTTTCCTGGTAGCTGGATCTCTGTGTGTTTGATACCGAAATGTCAGTTTGTCTCAGAAAGCTTCCAAAACTGAACTGAAGTGGGAAGTTAGGCTTTCCTGTTGGAAGTTGCTTTCCTTTCAGAAACCTGGTTGAAATTCAGC